GAAGGAAGGAAGGAAGGAAGGAAGGAAGGAAGGAAGGAAGGAAGGCATGCACACAGTCTGTCTCTACTGACAGCACAGCAGTCTGTTTCTCTTAAGTGCCTGTGTTCATGTGGTTTGCTTCCCAACAAGATCACCTGCTAAAATGTCCAACAGAGGCAGAACAGAAGCTCCCCAGCTCAGCTGCTTCTTAAACCAAGTTGAAAAAAAATGCAAAATTAATTCTGACCTGAGAAAAGGGCTCCTAATTTAATATGGTATTTGACTACTATGGAACTCATCCTCTGAATCAAATAGATTTTTAAATGAAAGGGCTAGTCTCTGACAGAAGAAAAAAATGCTGCCTATTTGTGTGGTTAATAAAAATGTAGGTCTTCAATAAAATTATTTTTATGGAGAGGGAAATGTGTTTCACAAAGAGATAAACTTGGATGCTGAAGTAGGGCTTGTTTATTCTCTATGAATGTCAGTTCCTGTGGGCTATCAGATGCAATAAAGCATAAAATTCTGTTTGATTTATATTCACATGGTCTAATATCATATAATAAGTGATATTGAAAGCCACAAGACATATCTTCTAGGGCTAGTAATTTAATTTTAGTATTTTTGAATTAGTGATGGAAAGTTATGGATTAGAAGAGATATCAATGCATGTGAACCTTTTAACTAAATAAAGTACCAGACAGTACTCTCCTGAGATAAGAAGGTTAATAGATATACCCTTGAATTTAAGCTTCTTCTAAGTGCTGTGTCATCAGTATATTCTTTATAGTTATAGAAGTTTGTAAAACCACGTTAAGCAGCCTTTGAACTGAAAAAACACCAGTTAAAATAAGAATTACATAATTTTGAACATTTGCTGTACACTTCTATATGAAAGGAACAGATTTAAACTGTTGCACCAAGCTTGATGCAGATAGTGTAATTAAAAGAAAAGATAAATCAGAACCAAAATTCATCAGGGGAATTGATTCAGCTAACACACTTTCACAAATTAGAGAGCCAGAGGGGGACAACCATAATCATCTAGTCTGACCTCTTGCATTCCACATCATGTGATTTTTCTGAATTAATTCTCATCTCATCTATCACTTATCTTTTAGAAAGACATTTGATCTTGATTTTAAAATGCATAGCAAAAATGGCTCCATCTGAAAACCATTTCCTTGGTAGCAGAGTTTTGTACATGGTGAATATTTTCACTAAGTTTCTCTCATATTTTAAAACTTAATCTGTTTTCACAGGTATACTCATTTATACAACCAAGGATCAAATGAAGCTTTCTGGCTACAGATTCGTGATGAGCATGTGTGTTTAGCTGATTACACTTGATCTTTGGGTCACCTGCCAGCTTCTTAAAGGCCACTGAAGAATGAGTATAACAGAACCAAGAACTGACAGTAGGAATGCATAGGCTCAGCAATGATTCTTTGTCTACCTTTTCACTCTGGGATTTGTTAGCTAACCCATTTTTAATCTTTATAATGTGTACTACATTGATTTTTTTGTTTTACTACCCTGCTCGCTATTCAGAATGTGTGGTATCAATCAAAAAAAATGTCTTCCTATTCTCTAGGAATACCAAATTTAGGCAGCTAATTAATCTGTATAATATATATTTATCAATCAAATTTGTAATCTTGTTGAAAAAAAGAATGAGTCTTATGACAAGTTTTTCACAAATTCATGTTGTTTCCAAATAGTTATGCTTTTTCATTCCATTCCTTACTACTCATAGGAATCCTTTGGATTGGAATAGGAGGGACCTTGAAGATCGTCTAGTCCCAACCCCTCTACTATAGGCAAGGATCCTTCCATCAGACAAAGTTGCTTAAAGCTCCATCCAACCTGGCCTTGAAGACTTCCAGGGATGGGATATCCACAACTTCTCTGGGTAGCCTGTTTTGGTTCCTCACTACCCTCACAGTAAACAACTTCTTCCAAATGTCCAGTATAAACATAGTATATACTCTCTTTCAGGTTAAATACATCCCCCACCGTGTCTTATCACTACACACTCTTGTAAAAACTCCCTCTCCATCTTTCTTGTAGGCTCTCTTCAGGTACTGGGAAGCTACAATTAAGTCACCCCTAAGCCACCTCTTTTCCAGCCTGAAAAATCCCAATTCTTTTAATCTTTCCTTATAGGAGAGGTGCTTCATCCTTCTGATCACCTTGATGGCCCTCCTCTAGACTAGCTCCAAAAGGTCGATGTCCTTCCTGTTCTGGGGACCTCAGAGCTGCATGCAGCACAGCAGGTGGGGTCACTACTGGAGGAAGAAACAGAGGAAGAAACACTACATCAAGAAAGACATTACTTGATTTTTTGGCAGCTTGGAAGCAAATAGTGGAATTACTTAGCAGAGGAAGCAAGCTGGAGCATGAGTGTGATTGTCTGTTATTGATTACCAAATGGTCATTCTCTAAATCTCTTCGCCACTAGCAAAGACCACGACAAGCTCTCTTCCTTAAATAAGTCTCTTTTTGTGTACCAAGTAATCCTGTATTCCCACATTGTCAGGAGAGTTTAAATCACATCTCTATATTCATATCTCAACTACTATAACCTTAGGTGTTTTTGTTAGCTGCAAAGTATCTAATCTTTGTTTACGGTGTTTTCAAACTCTGCCCTTCTAATTTATGTAAGACAGACGCTGATCCTACCTGTATATCCGAGTATATTTCATAACATATTTAGACCCAAAGGTCCACTTAAATTCTGTGTGGAATAGGAAAGAAATTTTTTCTTTGTTTTACAAGGTACTAAAGCAAAGCAAGTAGGTCTATTGAAATAGGAGGAGGTATTCCAAGTGTAGGTATGCTGCATTGAACTTTGAAGGCAGTAAAGAAGGCTGCACACCAATAAAAAAACCACTTGGGTAACCTGAAGTACTGTCTAGAGATAAGCACTCAATGCACGGTGTTGATGAATGAGTATCTGTCTCTCTATTATGCTTGTGTTGGAGTAGAGTTGCATCATAATACTTCTTCCATTTCTATGGAGGTGCAGACCCTGAACTGAAATGGTTAACTGAGTGAGTTGTGCTATGTCACAAAGGAAATGGCACTTTTATCAGACTCATTAAATTATTCAGATATGAAGTGAACAGATTGCCTGAATAAGAGGGGATTTTATCAGTCATGGAGGGACAATTCCAGACCTATCCCTTCCCTTTCAGAGATTGTACACTTGGCAAAGTATGAAAATATTTCAAGAAGCAATGACCAGAAGCCAGGAAACCTATCATGCTGTTTAACTAGCACTTCTGGGTTCTCTTGAACTGCATTCTGACAGCTGAGCCCATTTCAGAATAGCTGAGGGGTAGTTTCTGTATCGAGATCCCAAGCTGGATGTTTGAAACTACCTCAGTGCAGTGAATTCATGCTAAACTCAAGCTACAGTGAGGTCTCACAATCTTCAAATCTAATGAAACCTCACATTTATCTGCTCAGCTCTCTTAGGGATTTTCCCACCAGTGCTGGGAAACCCACAGGGTTCCCGTTTTAGCCTAACTTTCAAAGCAGCACAGAAATGAGACAGTCTCATTATCCACTATTTTTTAATGGCTCCTTTAACCCTGCGCTTTCCCCCACCGCAGCCTTCCACAGCCTTTAACTTACAAATATCTTGAATGTATCTGGAATCGAATGTAGAAAGGTCTAAAGGGAAGTGTTTGTGCAAGAGAGCGTGAGAAACCGAGGAGAAGCAGAGTCAGAAGAGGGATGGGCAAGCTCGAAGTAGGATTGGGGGGAGAGATGAGGAGCTGGGGATGACCTGAAGCGGGGGGAGGAAGAGTGGGGGAGACATGGAGAGATGCGGAGGTGTGCGAGGGTGCGTGTGCATGGTTTGGGGAACAAAAATCGGCATCGTCTGAAACGGACGTGACTTTTCCAGCGGGGGCGGGTGCACTCTGGCACCTGAGGCATGCAACCTACCCCGACCAGCCTTTTCCACGACGGTGCAGGGGGTGCAGCCTCTGCGGGGGAGGCTGCACCCCTTGCCCGGTCGGGGAAAAGGCTCGTCAGGGCGGGTTGGGGACCGACGCGGATCCCCAGCCTGTTCCCGCATTGGTTCCCGTAAGTTCCCGCGTCATTTTTCTCCCCACACCCCGCTTTTCGCACTGGCAACCACAAGCCTCGATGGACGGGCGGGAGAAAGCTCGGATGCTCTGAGAGGGTCTGGGTTTGGGTTTGTTGGTTGTTGTCTTTTTTCCCAGCCTCCGGAACAACCACTAGGGATGTCCGGGATTCAACCAGAGGATGATTCCCCTCCGTACAAGAATTGGACGAGTGGGTCGGAACTAAACGAAACGCGGGAGGCTCTTTTAACCCCTTCCTCCGACTACGATGATGAGGAGTTCCTGCGATATCTCTGGAAGGAGTATTTGCATCCCAAGGAATATGAATGGGCGCTGATCGCCGGCTACATAGTCGTCTTCATTGTGGCTCTCGTCGGGAACGTCTTAGGTGAGTCGAGCTCCCCAAAACTTCCCGTTCTCCCTTCCCGAGATGGGCTGTGCACGGAGAGTAGATGAAAACCGGGGTGGGTTTGGCACACCCCGCTGGAAAGGCGGCAGTCCCCAGCCGAGGGGGAAAGTTCAGGTTCCGCTGAAAGGGCCATAAAAACCGCTCTCCCTACCGGGTGAGGAGCCGCGGCGGCTGCCGCTCTCCTCCAGGGCCGGGCACGGGCAGCAGGGTGCCGGAGCGCACCGGGGTGGCCCGGCGGCCCAAAGCCGCGGCTTGCCGGCCGGCTCCCGCCCCTGTCCCCCGGGCCGAGGTGCTGAACCCTCCCGGCACGGCGGCGGCTCCGCCTCTCAGCCCGCTGGGGAGGACGCTGCTCCCTCGCTCAGCCCCGGCCCGGCGCTGGGGATATCGAGCTCGGGCTGGTTCCCCGGGACAGCGACGGGGACGAGGGGAGCGGGACGGCGGCCGGCCCGTGAGGGGAGCCGGCGGTGTCGCCTCAGCCGCGGCGGGCGCAGAGCGCGGCTCCTTCCCCGCGGCTGGAGCCGAGCGGGGCCGTGGGGCGGGGGCGAGGCGGCCGCTCCCGGCGCTCATTGAGGAAGCGAGGCGGGGCGGCGCCTCCCCTGGAGCCCGCCTTCTCCCGCTTCCATTCATCCTTGAAGGAGGCGGCGGGGGCACCGGGCTGCTCGGCGGCAGCCTCGAAGGGAGCGGTAGGGGCGCTGGAGTGTGGCGGAGAGCTGAGGATAGTGAAGGGAGGGGGGGCATGGGTGGGCTGGGGCGGCAGCGGTGTGTGGGAGCGGCAGAGGGGTCTGGCCGTCAGCAGCCCGCCCTCTGTCCCCCATCGCTCCTCTTCGCTCCCCATGCCTCCTTTTCGCTTCCCCGAGCCCGCAGCCGCCCACAGCGGGGGCTCTCACCGGGCCGTCGGAACAGGCGCTTCTGCTGGTGCAGGGGAGCGTGGCCGTGCCCCCCTCCCGGGCTGCGGGTGGCCGGGGGAGCGGAACAGGTGCTGCTCCTCAGCAGTTCTGTGTTTGTGAATGGACGCGGTGTGGGCGCCGGGAGCCCGCTCCGCCAGGAGGAACCCCCGGGTGACGGCCATTGGCATTCCCGCGTCCATCCCTGTGATACTGCCGTGAACGGAGCGCGCTGGGCCCCGCCCCGCCATAAGGGTCCTTCATTCATGATTTTCGGAAGGAATTGTGCGTGTCAGGGCTGTCACTGCAAACTCTACAGGCTTCCCGAAGTGAGATGCAAATGAGACTACAGCCAAAGGCAATATTTTTAAAAGCATTTTTTTTTTTAAATTTCAACGGACTGATGGTGCTCTTTTTTTAGGAGTTATGTGGCGTTGCGCTAAGTGCCTGTGTGCACGTTTGCTCAGTCCATTGCTCGGCGTCCAGCTTGACCGACAGTGTAAAGATAACAGCCCTGGCAAAGATGCTTCATTTTAGACCGGGATAAAAGCTGTCCTTCTTTCTAATTTTGAGCAAAAGACTATTTTAGGAGAAACACCTGTGCTTACCTGTTATCCTCCACCGATACTGTAGACAAGCTGTCCTCTCACCTGTAGAGATTCAAGGTCAAATCTTCAGCTGTAGGGGCTTTCACCCTGTTTACGCTTTTCCCCTCTGAAGCCAAGAGGAGAAAAGCTTTCCTCTGTGTGCACTCACAAATAGACATGATACCAATGCAGACCAGTGCAGACCAGTGCAGCTGTTCTTTCCTCACATTTGCCTGTGTTAACTCTTTGCTTGGGATGGAAACTGGTATCTGGCTGTCCACCCACCATTTCTTTTACTGGATGGAATGTCGACTTCTTGTCCTCTGAAATCTCTCTCTCCATGTTGTAGTACGTGGTAGGTAGAAAATCTGTGTCTTAAAATGGATAGAGAAGTACCTGAATACCTTTCTATCCACTCCTCTAAATCACAGTAAATCTTACAATAGATAATTCAGCTTTACAGCTGGACTCAATGATCTTAAAGGTCTTTTCTAACCTAAATGATTCTATGATCCTTCTCAAGCTGTTTGCTCCATATTGCTGGTTCTGTTTATGGGTGAATTGTTTGTGGTGTCTGCAGGTGCCTGGTAGCTGAATACGGTCTCATCTTTATTCAAGAAAGCTCACAGTACACTGATTGCAGGCACATGTGATTCTGAGGAGAGAAATGCATGTAATCTAATGCTCTTTACAAAGATATTTTTGAGGAACTTTTTTACTACAAGTGAAATCTGATGTAGAACAGTGCACATGTTGGTATCTCTGAGGAGCTGATTTCTGCTGCTTGAAAAATCTATATTCCAGGTTAATCTGGGATTTAATCATGGACTTTCTTAAAGAAGGGCAGGAGTGCTTCTAAAGAAAGTTTTAATGACTACTAGTGCTTTATAGTATCATCCTTAATGCCTTATAATATTACCCTTAAAAATGCATTGCATACCTTTGCTTATGTTTGCCCAGTGTTGCAGAGCTTGTGGCATGTGTAGTCAATGCTTTGACTCTACATATCCTGTTCAAATAACACTTAAGCAACTGGGAAAAAACCCTCTCTTTCCATGTGTGGTGCTGAAAATTACAGTTCTGCTTCTTATTTTGGTTTGTGCACTCACATGGAATAAGGAATGTCCCAGACATTGTATCTGTGCAAGTGGAAGACACAGCACATCCCTTAGATATTAGTAATAAACTGGATTGAAGCATTCTGACAGTTAATTAACAACCAAGGGTAGAATCAGAAGCTTAAACTTTGATTGACATCCATTGGGTTCTTGAGTGAGATACACAGTAGGAATTCCACTAATAATAGCATATAACAAGGTCTGCATTGCTATTTAGCTTTCAATTTAATTAGGGAAGTTGACACAGACTGACTGAGCTGCTGCACAAGCCAGCTAAAGTGAAAAATATTAGCAAGTCTCTGTATATGAATGCAGGTTTCAGTATTGCACACAAAGTGCTTCATGTCAGTGATTCTCTTGTATGCCTGGGTTGGCCACTTACCAGGTATTTCAATGTAAGTCAAGGAAAAGAAACAGATTTTAAGATGGTTTTATGACATATTTGCATGAACATTCAGGAAGTCTGAAATATAGATGGCAATATCAATATGATTTATCCTATTTTCTTCTCCACTTGGTCACTATTTATCACTATAAGCAGAACAAGCGTGGAGGGTAAGGACTTCGTTTTTCAAACAAGACCAAAACTTTTCCTTACTATTGCAGAGCAATGAAACTCTTGAAATTTCTTTGCATATCTAGTGTAAAACATAGGACATAATGTAGAATGTATGCTGACTGTAAAGACCTTTTTCTTATTTATTTGAAAACATGTCATTAAAAACATTGCTTAAAAATAGGAAACTACCAGATAATTAAGGAAGAAAAGGTATTTTTAGGATGTCTAGAGGTCACTGGTTACTGATGCCATTCCAGGCTGATCAGTTGCAGTAGTTAATAACTGGATAAAGACTACAAGGGATTGAAATTAAATGTACAACTACATGTATTTAACTCTGTTTATACGTATGAAAAATGCAAGTGACCCTTGTTGAAGTTACTCATTCACATGGGTCAAGATTTTTCTAATGAAAATGGTTTCTCTCAGGGAACATGCATTCATCAAAATGAAAGTGTACAGCAGAGATCACTTGGTTTGATCAAAGACTGAAGGCAAAACAAGCAACCTTTTGGCATCCCACCAGCTGGGCTGCTGGGCCTCTTGGCAGGCCTCCCCAGAGCTGGCAGGAGCTGAAATCTTTAGCACATACAAGCTGCCAGTGCCCAGCTTGAAAGTCCTCAACACTGCTGGCTTCCAAGGGTAAGAGACCATGCAGTACTTCAGTGAGAAGTCTCAGAAGCTTTCTTTACTCACAGTTTGGTGATACTTGGTTTTCATTTCAACTCAGAACGAGATTGTGAGAGACTTTGCCTTCTCTGGATAGATGTATTATTTATTATCTGTTTTACAGTAACTGCTAGTTTTGGTGAGATCTGGAAGAACCCAGCTATGCTCCTTTCTTCAAAGAGCTCATAGACTGACTCACAGAGTTCAACAGCCTCCATTTGATTTTTCTAGGGCTGGAGCAGAAAAATCTGTGTATGGCTCTAATACCAGAGTCTTGCTCAATGCCTATGAATAGGCAACTCTCTCAAATGCAGCTCTGTTACAATTTTAAAGATATCCAGTGAATACTGAGGTCTAGGCATACATGCCTATGTTGGTAGATTTGGATGAGTCATGTATTCTCTTAAATGATTTTCATGAATCGTATTTCATTGCTGTAGATGAGGCATATTTCATTTAATTACATTTTAAATTATTACTTTTTTTTTCAGATTACTTGGGGAATCTGGCACTGAAAGGACTTTGTTTGTAATATCAGCATGAGAGTCACCTTTATCTGTTGGATGAATAATAACTAGAATGGCTTTATCGTTGTTAAGAAGACAGCACATAGGAAATGAGACAATATGTATATATTTTTTCTACCTAAGATAGAGAAAGTATGAGCTCAATTTATGTAAGAATTTGGTATCAACTGAAGTACATTGCTGTTTCCATAATACAGGGATTACTCACCATCTTTCAAATTAAAAAAAAAATGTTGAAGGGTTTGGGTTTTTTTTTTGGTTATAAAATACAGTTTATTTTCTATGTTGCTTGTCAGGTGAAACCTTTGTTTTCTTGGACATAAGCAGCTGACTTACTGCCTGTCTCACAAGTGGAATGTGTCAGAACTATGATGGACTGTTCCCCAGGGGAAGGGGTGCAGCAACTGAGGGCAGCAGCAAGACTGACAGGACAGTGTACTCACCAGCACAGTCCCACAGTGCCTGAAAGCTTGGTAGGTCTGAAGATGTTTCAGTTTTCAGGTTCAGGTTTCAGTCACCTCCCAGCAATTGCCAGACAAATCCATAGTGATGAAACAGGTCTGAGGTTAAGCCAGAAAATCAAGTCAGTGGATGAGTTTTACAATCAAATTCAGCAAGGCAAAAGCATACTTGCA